TGACTTATATTATTTTAATATTTATAAATAATAATAATCAAATTAATAACATAAGATTTGTACAGGGCTCGTTCATATCCAAATTTAAAGAGCAACAATATATATATATATATACCCTATCGGATTTTAATTACATTTTGATATACATATTTAATTAATTTTTGCTAGTCGTCACATATCATTTATTTGCAAAAATAAAAGGAGCGAATTAAGGGTCTATATGGCAGGATTGCTTAATTGAAGAATGCTTGCCATCGAGGGGGCTCTCTCGGTCTATCGGCGAGGATTAAAGAACTGCATAAAAATAGTAAATTATTACAGTATTTATAATATGAAATTGGATATAAAGTAGTGAAATCATTAAAAGAAAAATCTATAAATACAGTTACATGAAATTCGACAGGAGGCTGTTAACTGTATTTATACAATGTTATACACAGGAACGCACATCACGTAGGACACAGAACGCGCATGAAACAAAATGGCTTCTAAATTCTCAATGTCGCAACTCTTTCTATCTATGGCTCTGACCGACTTATATTCATGGCGCCCTCATCGCTATAATACATGTTACGAATCTGCTCAAACACACAAACAAACATGGCAGCGTGCACACAAATTGAAAAGTAGAGTATGGTTGTGAAATTATTGTAACTGTCCAGAGATGTTAAGACGTTTTAAGCCTTATAGGCGATTGGCCGGAGGTCCAAAAGAAAGGATAAATTTGCTACGTGGTCTAATCAACCACCTCGTAAAGTATGAACGACTTGAGACTACATACGGGTTAGCACACGAGACACAGAAATATGCCGAAAGGGTATGTTGCATGTAGGAGTGAGAGCAGCATGGATTGCGTGGCGAAGGCCTAAGCTAGTGTAGTGGTGGATTATACTAGGCCTAGAACATAGGCCTAGCATACACAAGGCGTCTGTAGCATAATCACCCAAATTTAGCCCGGAAATTATCTGTATCATCGTCAGAAATACTGCTTATAGTTCCTCTTGAGTTTAAATTAACTTACACACTCTCTTTTAGTTTTTACACAAAATTATAGGGAAAATCCATCAAAAATTGTAACTTCCAAAGTGAATATTTATGTCTCATTATTATCTATTCTTCATTTAATAAATCTCTTATTTTCCCCCAGCTAATAAATGTTGCAAAGAAAGGTGATCATGATCCGGCAGCAATGAAACTCGCTGACTATTGGCTCTATGTAAGTTCATGTGTAACTGAATTAAAACAATTGTACACAAAATTTGAACCTTGAACAAAATATTCATTAATTAATACCTTTCTTTAAACAGGAAATAATATTTCTTAATCAACCTAATCTGCCCAAATTTTGCCATGCTTGACAGTATAGGATTGAAACTACTGTATTTTTAATTTCTTGATTTTTTTTTCAATTTAATGCTATTAAAATATTTCAGTTTTATTGATTATATTATTATTTAGTCGTATTACAGTAATTAGTGAGGGCACATTCTATCCCTGTAACATTTAGTATAGTTAGTCAAATCATCAAATGCTCTGGCAAAATAAACACTACAGTATATTTATATACTCAAGATTGACATTTATGCCCAACTTTTAGCATATGCTTGACAGTATAGGACTGAAACAATTTTTAATTTCTTGATTTTTTTTTTCAATTGAATGCTTTTAAAATTTTATTGATTATATTATAATCAATCATATTACAGTAATTAGTGAGGGCATCTCCTATATTATAACATTTAGTTGTTTTTTTTCTCCATGGTTAGTCAAATGCTCTGGGAAAATAAACACACTATATTTACTGTATACTCAAAATCGACCTTTTATGCCCATCTTTTGGAATATGCTTGACAATGTAGGACTGAAACTTTTTTTTAAATTTCTTGATTATTGGGGATTTTTTCAATTTAATGCCATTAGAATATTTTCAGATTCTTCTATTTCATAGGAGAAACAATTAGTAACTGACTCCACACAAAATTTGAGCCTTAAAAAAAATATCATTACCTTTGTTTACCAAGAAAAGTAATCGGTCGTATTGATTAGTGAGGGTACATTCTATCCCTTACCTTTATTTTATAGTGCTCTGGCAAAATAAACATTATATGTATACTCAAAATCCACCTTTATGGCCAACCTTTGGGATATACTTGTCAATATAGGACTGAAACTATTTTTATTTTCTTGGTTAAATTTGTTTTTTGTTTGTTTTTAGTTTAATGCCATTATAATTATTCCTGATATTTGTTTATTTTATAGGAGAAACAATTAGTACACAAACTGTTCAAAGTATTGGTACCTCGGTTTGAAAATTCCACTGGGCTGTACACAAGGCTATTAAAAGTTCCAGGATACAATGAAAAAGGCATTCCGACTGCTTTTCTAGAATACAAAGGGAACCCATATCCACCACTGAGGCCGGAAAAAAGAAAGAATCCTGATTGGATAATTAACCAGCTGATTCGCGGAGCAATGCTGGATCTTAAGAACTCTGGGAAATTGAAAGGAGATAGCTCAATACCGCCCTCTACAAACACTCGATCCAGCGATAGAGTTTCTGCAGTTGGTGATGGGACAGCGGTCTAAGACTGATAAAAACGAAAATTTTGTGGAGTAAACATTAATTTTATGTGGATTGCGTGTTGATATAATTCCCCTTTCCAATACTACAACTATACAATAACAAAACAGTGTAAAGAAGTATTGTCGCTTGAAAAATACCCAAAAATATCATTAAAAAAATCATTTTTGAAATTAAACTCATTTTGAAGTAACAGATTATTCAGTGTAAAAATCAGGGTACACATTTTTTTTTTACAATTCAATAGTTTCTCTGCTCAAGTTGTTAATTTCAAAATTATTTTTTTAATGATTTTTTTTTGTCACATTTGGGGGAACAATACACCTTAAAGAAATAGCCTCTTTTTGAAGAATTTTGATTTAACATTAACAAGAAAAGATAAACACACAGATCTGCTTAAGACTGTTTTATTACTATTATTACCTTGTCTTAAGTGTGTAAAACATCATGTTATATTATAGCAATGTTTGGCATGCAATCCTATAATCTATTACTGTACTGCATACACATTTCATGTGTCCTGGTAATTAATTATACTCTAATGTACAAAGGTATTAAATTAAGGATTTTTGGAGATGATACATGTTTATCCATAAAATATAGTAAAATATCTATAATAAGCTACACCTTTAATTGGTACATATTGTTAAAATATGAAATGCTAACTAATACATATACTTGTCTAGAATAGGTCGAATGTTGTACATTTGAACTGATTTTTAATAAACTTGTCTATCTAATGTGCCGACTTGCTGAACCATGTTCATGAGTCGGCATCACAAAGAAATTTACATGACTCATTATTTTAAAGACAAACATGGATTGCTTGTTCATTATTTATTACAGTTTTGTTACTGTGCCTTTCCTTTTGTTTTATAAAAACTAAACATTATTATTAATGACACTAAATACAGAACTGATATTTAGATCTTTAAAACAAAATTTCTTGGAAAGTGATAGAGTTGATTCAGTTGATATCTCTGACCAATGGCCATCAATCATTTTCCATGTTTGTTACTATACACATTCAATCCAATTAAAAAAAATTCATTTCCATATGTTGCACACCAATTTGTTTCTTAATAAAAATCTTTAAAAATACATATACAACTTTTCTTTAAAAACATTTATAAATAAACGGCAAAATTGACATAGAAATATGAAATACTATAGATTAAAAAAGTGAGGAAAATAAAAATGATGGTAGTAAACTGGTTCTTAAGAATACACTGTGAGCTAAACAATCTTTGTACTGTACAATGCATTCTATTTTTTTTACAACAAAAAAATAATAGTCTTATTTGATTGAAATAAGACATACTGGCAGTTCTGTTGAATATTTTAACTCCAACATCTACGTGCCTATTCTTAACATCTAATTCTGCTCTGGTGGATAAAACAATCATCAAAGAAGAGATGTAGCCACAAGTAGTAAAAAGAGAGTTGGGAAAGTGCATGCCCAAAACTTAAACCTTTTGGGTGATGCATTACGATACAGTACTATAGGACATTTGTGTCTCAGTGTGGATCTGAACTATTATTTATTGTTTTAATCAATTAAAATGCTAGGCTCCAGTATCAGAGATGGAGGGAAGAAAGAGGCATGGGGTACATGCACTTCCCAACATTTTAAATAGATAGCTAAGCTGTTATCCCAAATTTTGTTCTCCCCATCTCCCCCACAACATTTGTTTGTACTCTGCAAACCACCCTTGACTCCTTTGAGTGCACAGTAGACCATTGAATATAACAGGCAAAAACTGATGCATGCATACTTTTTTAAAAATTGCAAAAAACAGATGTTCAGTACTACAAATACATGAGGTGTTGTACTAAAATTTCATGAAAGAAACATTAAAATGAGAAACAAAAGATAGGCATTACATTCTAAAATGTAACAATTTTAAACATAAAATGCAAATATCTTCATTAACCATCTGGCACAGTTTAGTTATTGGAAGGTTTACAATAAACTAAAATACATGAAGCCTACTAGAACATCATTTTGAAATGTAGTAAAAATATATTTTGCCAAGTATTATTTCAGTAGCTTATAGAGCAGTTTTGTGCTCATTTACAATTTAATTATGATGGACATGCTCAATAACCAACAATAAGTTTTGATCAAAAATTGTTGCTGATAGCATCCGTCACGAAAGTAATACATTATTGCATGAGATTCAGCTGGAAGTATGGGCCCAGGATAAAGAACATATTCTGTGGTGGCCTAAAATTGCAATCTACCTTGCCTCTTTTCCTTTCTTTGTTATCATTACAAGAATTTCCCTGGGTTGTTCGTCATGGTCTGTTTTGGCTGATCCATCATTCAAATTTGGTGAATTTTAAAACTACATGTATGAAGCACAGTGCTCTCAATTAATGTAGAAGGCATAGGAGATTGAAGAACAAGACACACACCTGCTAACGCCACTTCACTCACCATAAGACTAAGAGAAAAGGAACACAGGCAAAAATCCCTAAACCATTTTTAGACGTTAGTAAGATTACTATCAGTAACAGAATATATTTCTTAAGACAAAGTCAATACGTTAATACATGTAGGTAAAATGCCACTCAATTGTGATAAATACTGATGAATTTCAGATAGCACCACAAAATAATTATAACATTACTGACTGTGGCAATTAGATGGTGGAAGCAGTGCTCACCCCTCGATCGGCAGCAGCTAAAAAGAAAACCAAGTGTAAAATCATTTAGATAAGAGATTCAAATGGCTAAAGATCAGAGCTTCCAGGGGCATACGTACCACCCCCAAGCCTCTAAATATACAAGCCTTTGAGCCTGGATTCACCCTGGTTCAAGGCTATAAATAGGAAACGTCAGTGCAACAATTAAAATAGCAAAATATTATCTAGAAAACCATAAAATATTTAAATTGATATAGTAAAATGATAAAATATGTTATCAACTTTCAACAAGACAAAAAACATAATAAGATTTATAAAGCGCACAAATTCACTGCAGTAGTGGTCAATTATTCAGTTTTCGCAAATTTACTGACATTACTAAAAAGTCTCAACAACCAATGTTAAGGGTATAAGCAAAGAATATAGAAATGGTGTAATGTATGTATTACATTGGTGTACTTTAGGAGGGAAAATAATTTGTTCGCTGTAATTTTCAATTTATATTAATAACTTATAATTATATACAAAGTAAAAAATTCAAATATTTAATTATATTCTTTAAATTTATTACATAAACCAAGACAAAAGTCTTTAATGCATTAATTTCTTCAGTAAGAGACAGATTTAGAACAAGTGAAAGCCTATTGAAAATAAAAAGCAAAATAAATGACTATGTTTAAATTTACAAAATTCTAATGGAAAATATTAAATTAGAATATAATAAGACCTAAAATTAAATTTACTGCACATTGTATTTGCACAGTATATATGATTATGGTCATCATATTCATAATATGCCTTAACATTTATTACGGTTCTCAAATAGTGGAACCATTTTTACCAAAAATAATTATTGCCATATCGAAACTCTTAGAAACAAACATCACATTCATTGTTTTGAGCAAAGAGAGTTAAACTGAAGCGGTTTATTGCCGTGTTGCAGACACACAATCTCAGCTCGGCCACCTGTCAATTAATATGACCTTTGTGCTAAGCCACGCCCCTTGGATATTCATGTGGGACAACATGCGTATTTGTTAGACAAGCGCATATCCATGGCACTGTTCTGATTGGTCAGTTTTTAAATTTGATTGACACTCAGAAAAGATCTATTCACATTACTTAACACACAAAATAAATGTATTAAAATTGTTCATAATTGTGTTCAGTTCTTGTAGATACGCCAATCAATACAAAAGTAAAAAAAAATTCACAAAATCTAAGAATTTTCATACAAAGTGAAGCACTGTCCACGCTATAAAATTTTAAGCGACAAATTTGAGTCATGTGCCCATATATGGGCATGATGATGTCATATTATACCCAAATATGGGCACACCACATATTTTTTTTCATAGTGTGGACAGAGATTTAGGGCCAAATATAAAAAAAAAGGTCTTACAATGATTGAATAAGTATTTTGAATAAAGTGCGCTTTTGAATAAGCTCGTCACCAACATCTTTTGGTAAGCATCGCTCTCATATAAGCGCTGTGATGCTCATTTCATTTTTGATGTCGTGTTGCTTAACCAAATAATACTAGCATTGCAACTACTCATCTAGGCCTCCAATAATTTGTAACAAGCACCGACCTGAAGTAAGTTCCCATTCTTGAATAAGCACCACATTGAAGTCGCCATAATGTTTTTAAGCACTACGGTTTTTTACTAAGTCATTAACGGTAGGCCCCTTTAGTTGCAAATTTAGCCACTATATATTTTTGGACATCTAGGCCTAGCACACACAGATATTTAATCAGTACCAAGGACTTAGAGTACGTTCGGGCGAGTTTTTTGTGGAGTCTAACATGGTATAAATCCGGAAACGGCCATTTCCGGTTCTCACCCGAACGGGTGTTAAACGCGGACCGCCTGCTGATATCCGCTGATAATCCAACACGGCAAATTGCAGTGTTTTTGGAGGAGAAAAAGCAGCATGTGTTAGCAGCAGGGAGCATTTCTTATCACTTAATCCCCTTTGATTGTTTTAACACGCCCCAAAAGTAAAGTCTGTTTTAACGTTCATGGTCCCTGCTTCTTTTTCAGTTTAATATTTCCAAAAACAAAACTGAAAAGCTCGATAAAATAAATTATTTCAACGGAGGGCTAGCCTACAATCCAGATTGTTACCCTATTACATACATCCGCCATACGTGATCGTGGTACCACAGCTTATTCGTTTAACAATGGTAGTAATTTTCTGTTTTATAATACTACCAAAGTTTATTCTGGGTTTACATGCTCAAAATGCACATCTGCGATTATTGGGAGTTTTAAATGTAGGCCCTATGCTTTATGAAGCTGATTGTTGTAGTTTTATCGGTCATTTCATTACTTGATTTTGAGACAACAACATTATGCAGTGTACCAACGCCAATGTCCGTTTCTTAAAGCATGGGGTGACGCAAGGTCCAGGGAAACTTGATAAAACTCATCATTTGCATAATACCTTAGGTCTTATGTCAGAGGTTAATGGTTTTTTGAAAGCCAAATTCTGCACAAACCGGTAGACCACCCACCGATACAATACCGGTAACAACCCTATGTAAATTTTTCCTGTTCTCGCCCGAACACACCCCTAGAGAATTCTGCGTAATTATCTGAGTGGTTTGGCTTGTGTGAGTAAAAGGAAAGCTGTACCCCAATAAAGATTAAAGAGTGGGACAGACAAGAGTTTATTTTTTTAATTTAGCCTTATTTACAAAAACAGTTAAAATTGCCTAATACCGCTTTTAGTTAAAATATTTGAATATTTAAAATAAATTTGAACATTATTTTTCATTTTTTTTATATACAAATTATATTGAGATGTTACTGAATAAAATTTGGTGGAATTTTACAAACAATAGCTATCATAAGCCTCTCTGCTTTTACAGATTAATAATTCATGTTCAAATTAATTACTGGGACTTAGTTCCAATAATCACTGTTTGGCTTAATTTTAACAATAGATAAAAGATATTATTTACAAGTAATTTACATAAACTTTTTATTTCTTACAATATACTTTGATAAATAAATCTAGCAGTTAAATATTGTAAAGGAGAAACAGAAAGTATATTTTAAGCTTCATTATGGTTCACACACACCAACTAACGGTTAGCAGGATCCAGATAAATATCATACGTACTCACACTTGTGTTCATACAAAAAAATTTCCGATCCAGATATCAAGATGATGATGATGATGGGATCACTGACCAATAGGAACCTGGAAACTTAAAATGCGTACGTGTGATTGGTTAATAATAGAAACGCGCTCAACTTGCTAACTGGTAGCATATCAATAGATCCTGGTAACGGTTAGCGTTAACCGATCGAACGTTCCAGTGAGAACCTAACCTTGGTATTTGGAATTTCTTAGAAAATTCTCTAGTAAAGCACAGTACAAAAAATTAAATTTTAAGTTTAAATTGTCTGAAGCAAAAACTATGGTTTACATGTCACCTAAATTTAAAAAAAAAACATAGGCCTACTGTCTTTAGCAAAATCTAGAAAAAAAAACCAATTGAAATAGATAGACATGCCAACCTATACTTTGGCATTTAATTCATGCGAAAAAAAGGTCTATTTCTGTGAGGTATTATTACCCACGTACACTTTCTTGTCGGAGTGCTCTCTGGTATCATTGATGTGGAATAAGAAGGAAAATCATAATTACTGTTCTTTTAGATTAAACCAATTATACCTTAAATACTGTAAAATTTGTAACTTTTACCCTGTACTGTAGTAAAGAATACAAACAGCCAATTAAAGACTAGAAAGACTGAAGAAATGGGTAGAATTTTGGCAACCTGAACTACTGATTGGGTTTATATAGCCGGTTTTGATCACATCCATTTCACCCTGCCATAAATATCAAGGAGCAGTAATTTGTTTGTTTTTTTTTAAAGTTCTTTATTTCTTGCTAATCCTCTTCACCCCTTAAACAAATGCTCTCTACCTTGGTTAAACCTGAATCATGTACCAATTTGGCAAACTGTAAGAAACTCATATTTTTTGGCATCCTTTTCTACGGAATTATATCGAAAAAATACCTTATAAGATCAGCAGTACAGTTTTGTTCTTGTTGAAGCGTACCATCTTTTGGAGTGCACCATCGTTTTAATGCTGATAAGGCAAGACTGAGCATTTTGTGGTAGGATGAAAGGAGGACATTATGGTACCATAAGGAGGACATTATAGTACCACAAGGAGGACATTATGGTACCACAAGGACGATATTTATGGTACCATAAGAGGAGGACGATGAATACTGGCTGAAGAGATGGCTCCTGGGGTTGTAGTCTTGTGGACACTCACATTTACAAGGTTGGAGCTGAAGATAAACAAAATTATATAACTAAAATATTTAAAAAGTGTTGATTTATATGTGCATGCCTCATCGAGTATTTAAATGTGTCTATTTATGTGCATGTGGTAGGATGAAAGAAGGACATTATGGTACCATAAGGAGGACATTATTATATAATTAAAATTATATAATTAAAATATTTAAAAAGTGTTGATTTATATGTGCATGCCTCATCGAGTATTTAAATGTGTCTATTTAT